GCCCAAGGGTGTGCCCTGAGTCAGAAGCGTCCGGAGCCATCAGCGTCTCCAAGCAACCCATTTGTCATCTCCCCTCCTTCCTCTCCTTTCCAGCCCCCTCTCCTTTGTTACCACGAGAGCTGGCTCCAGAGGAGGAAACCTCGCCATCGGCAGCAGAGGAAGCCATCTCAGCGACCCCTTTCCTCTTTAAAGTAGATGAAGACCTGCAGCCCAGAGAGGGCAAGCCACCTGCCCAAGTTACACAGAAATGTAGACAAGAGACGGAAGCCGGGCCTCTGGGCTTCTTTTCAAATTCCACCCGCCCCACGCCCCCCCAACACACACACACACACACACACACCAAGTCATTTTGTGAGTGTGTGTGAGGTGGGAATAAGAGGAGAGGGAATGTTCCAGACCTTTCTCTATGTGTTGTACAGTGTTTTGTTTTGTTTTTAAAAAAAATATATTTTATTGATTTTTTACAGAGAGGAAAGGAGAGGGATAGAAAGCTAGAAACATCGATGAGAGAGAAACATGGACCAGCTGCCTCCTGCACACCCCCTATTGGGGATGTGCCCGCAACCAAGGTACATGCCCTTGACCGGAATCGAACCTGGGACCTTTCAGTCCGCAGACTGACACTCTATCCACTGAGCCAAACCAGTTTTGGCCAGTGTGTTTTGTTTTTTATTTTAATGTTTTGAAGAGGAAATCAGGCTGCCTCTGATTAGGTTTGGCTTATTTGAGCGGAGTGTTTTACATTCCATCCTAGTGCCTGGAATCAAACTTAATTGCCGATTGTAAATGATATAAATAATATTTACCCTGGTTTCCTGAAGAGCCACCAGGGCTGCAGACTGCCATTTAGTCATATCAAAAACAAATGCCTCCAGCGTGCCAGGCCGAGAGGAGGAATGCGGGAGACATTCCTGAGGCCCAAGAATGCTGCCCTCAGGCCTGGAGAGCGCCGTGTGGGCCCTGCCTGGCCACTGGCGAGGGCCTGTCCCCCCCCCCCCCTCCCAGGGGACACCCCCTGGTGGGAGGGGGTCTCCACCTGGTTTATGAAAGACAACTCAACCCACAGCCCCCCCCCCTGCGTTCAAGCTCCATCAGAACACTGTCTCTTTCCGTAACCTCGATAAACACCCATAATTAAAATAATTCATTAAGTCTATTAATAGTTATCGAGCCTCCACTCTGCGCCAGGCACTGCTCCAGCAGCGGAGCAGACAGTGATGAATGAAGAGGAAAGGACGGTGTCTGCAGAGCTCAGATTCCGAACTCACATTTGTGAAGCGCTTCCTGGTGCCAGATGCTTTGGGTAGGCTATTTTCTCCTTCAATAAGTATCTCGTTCCAAAACAGCAATTAAAAAAACACACACACACAGCCGGGACTGGTTTGGCTCAATGGATAGAGCGTCAGCTTGGGGACTGAAGGGTCCCGGGTTCGATTCAATGTTTCTAACTCTCTATCTCTCTCCCTTCCTCTCTGTACAAAATCAATAAAATATATTTAATAAAACAAAAAACAAAAAAAACACAAACTGCTGGCAATTAAGAAAATGAGTATACTAATAAATGCGAAAGAGCATAAAGAAGAAAGTTAAAACTTATTTTTTTAATTTAAAAAAATATATATTTTATTGATTTTTTTTACAGAGAGGAAGGGAGAGAGATAGCTAGAAACATCGATGAGAAACATCGATCAGCTGCCTCTTGCACACCCCCTACTGGGGATGTGCCCACAACCAAGGTACATGCCCTTGACCAGAATCGAACCTGAGACCTTTCAGTCCGCAGACTGACACTCTACCCACTGAGCCAAACCGATTTCGGCTATTTTTTAAATTTTATGTACTTTTGAAGGTTTGCACTTTTTAAAAATATATTTTTATTGATTTCAGAGAGGAAGGGAGAGGGAGAGAGAGAGAAAAATCAATGATGAGAATCATTGATCGACCCTCCTTCCCACCCCCAACTGTTTATAGGTTGATGCTCAACTACTGAGCCACACCAGCCAGGTCCACTGTGGATTTTTAAAAAATATATTTTATTGATTTTTTACAGAGAGGAAGGGAGAGGGATAAAGAGCTAGAAACATCGATGAGAGAGAAATACCGACCAGCTGCCTCCTGCACACCCCCTACTGGGGATGTGCCCTCAACCAAGGTGCATGCCCTTGACCAGAATCGAACCTGGGGCCTTTCAGTCCACAGGCCAAAGCTCTATCCACTGAGCCAAACCGTTTCTACTCCACTGTGGATTTTTAAAAAATATATTTAACATTAAGGGGCAATTAAAAATTACCACTTTCAATACATGAAACCTAATGTCAAAAGTGCCAACAATAATTTTTCTTTTTCAAAGGCAATAGACATGGCTAAACTGCAAAAGGCAAGTGGTAAGGTCCAAATCTAAGACTCTAAGACTTAGGAATGAGTCAGACTTCATTGTCTATGTGAGTAAAAGTAGCGTCTAGAAGAAAAGAAAGTGTGTGGATAACAGATTCTAAAGAAGCTTATTTTATTATGAAGAGCATACAATTCCTTTCCTCATAGGGAAAAAAGTACTATTTCCTGAAGGTTTGCACTTTTAAAAAATATATATTTTTATTTATTTCGGTCCACAGGCTGACACTCTGTCCGCTAAGCCAAACCAACTGAGGCCTGTTTTTTTTTGTTTTTTTTTTTTTTTTTAATATATTTTATTGATTTTGTACAGAGAGGAAGGGAGAGAGATAGTTAGAAACATCGACGAGAGAGAGTCATCGATCAGCTGCCTCTTGCACATCCCCTACTAGGGATAGGACAGCAACCAAGGTACATGCCCTTGACCGGAATCGAACCCGGGACCTTTCAGTCCCCAAGCCGACACTCTATCCATTGAGCCAAACCGGTTTCAGCTGTTTTTAACATAAATGTTATGTGGATTGCCAAAACTGGTTTGGCTCAGTGGATAGAGCATCAGCCTGCGGACTGAAAGGTCCAAGGTTTGATTCAGGTCAAGGGCATGTACCTTGGTTGCGGGCACATCCCCAGTAGGGGGTGTGCAAGAGGCAGCTGATCGATGATTCTCTCTAACTGATGTTTCTAACTCTCTATCCCTCTCTCTTTCTCCCTGTAAAAAAGGAATCAATAATATATATATATTAAAAATAAGTATTTAAAAAAATGTTATGTGGATTGCTGGATGGATGGATGAATAGAAGGATAAATATGTGACAGAGCAAATACAACAAAAGGTTCACAATCACGGCATAATTTAGGGCATTCAAAGATAGTTCTCTCAGCTTTCTGCATGCTTGAACATTTTTATAATAACGTGGGGGGCAATGAAAGAAAAACACCACATGATCTCACTCATTTATGGATAAAAGAGAACATTATATATAAACTGATGAACAAAAAGATAGATACAGAGACAGTAAAGCAACAAGCATACTGTTGAATTACAGCGGGAAGGGTAGGGAAAGGTGGGGGAGATGAGAGATCAACCAAAGGACTTGTATGCATGCATTTAAGCATAACCAATGGACGCAAAACTCTTGTGGGGGGAGGGCACATATGGGAGTGGGGGAACCATGGTAAGATATATACACGTATAATATCTTAATAAAAAAATGAAGAAAAAAAAACATGTGGGGGACAAATGTGACCATGTTTTATTGCCTGCATTTCACCTTCTGTGTTATACGCCGACCTCTAGGCTCCTGGGTCCTGCCCTCTCTTTTTTTTTAAGTCCCCTTTGAGAATCAGAATTCTGTGGACTGCTTCCCAGAGGGATGTATTCGCTATTTACTTTCTAGTCAACCACACATTTATCAGTGCTTCGCGTGCTTCATCCTCATGGTGACCCCATCGGGGAAAGAACCCTTCTATCCCCAGCCTAAGCCGGAAATGGTGCCTACATCCGGGGCCCAGGGTGAGAATCTGTGCGGAGGACTGGGGCCTGGGACTCTGCCCGAGTGCGGCACACGGGGTCCTCTGCTCTCCAGGCCCCGCAAAGACATGCATGTTTGTCAGGTGAGTGAGGAAACGGCACATGGGTGCAGCTGAGGTTGCCATGTGCTCAGGCCCTGCCCAGGACACAGGGGGCGGGGGTGAGGGGGTTGGGGGGTTGGGGTGGGGTGGGGGGCGGGGGTGTGTGTGTGTGGCAGGCCCAAGCCTGGAGCAGGCGGTGCTCACTGGAGAAGGGGTAACCTCTCTGTTCCTCAGAGGCCGGAGCACGAATGTCTGGCTGCCGTTCTCCTGCAGCCCACCGACCTGACAGGCCCTCGCGATGCATGCGGACGGAAGAGGTCCACGTCTCGGTGGGCGCCGTGGCCAGGCCTCTCGGGTGGACAAGCCTGGGATGGAGCTGTCTCTCTGCCTCTCTCTCAGCCCTGGGATCTCCAGCAAGTCACTTCCCACCTGCGTCTGTGTCTTCGCCTGAAGAGCCCGCCTCGGGGGTCTGGGGAGGGCCAGGGCCAGCGTGTGCAGAGGTGGCTCAGACAGAGAAGAAGCGGTGGCTGTGGCTGCTGTGTCAGCTTTAACACCAGAAAGCAGCCTGCCACCTGCTTTCTCTCCCCGGCGACACCACAGAGGCCCGCTTACCACCGCAGACCGTTGGACTAGCTGGTGCCAGAGGAAGAGGCAGCGGGCTGGTGTCCACTGCATCCCCCTGGCACGCTGCTGCCCTCACAGCGGGCCCCCTCCCTGGCAGCCTCCCCTGACCTGCTGGTCTTCCACAGCAGCCCCGGCCCCAGGCAGGAGAGACCCCTCTCCTGGGACACCGACCAAGCGAGGTCCCCACCCCTCTGAGCCCGGGCCTCGCCCAGGACAGGACACCGGGCTCCTGGAAGCCTTGGGGAGCGCCCTCGGACCCGGGGCTCTCACCCCCCGGCGAGGGCGGGGGCGGGAGCCGGCCCAGCAACCGCCCAGAAGGCAGAACTGCCCCAAAACCAAGCCCAGGGAGAGGGGCACTTAGGGAAAGTAACCATGAGTCCAGCCCCCCCCACCCCGCCCGGCGGCGGGAGCCGCTAGGACCGAGGCGGAGCCGGCGGGCGGCCTCCCGGTGCGGCCGCGGCGGCCGCGCGGCGGCGGCTGGAAGTGCAGCGCCCGGGCCGCGTGCACGGAGCTGCCGGGGCGGCGGCGCCGCGCAGGATGCGGCCGCCCGTAATTAAATAGCACTTACTCTTATTATTACTAATAATAATAACGTAATAATCATACCTCTAGTCATAGCATACCACTTATACCGGGCTCCGGCCCGCGGAGCGCAGCCGGGGCGGTGAGTGCGGGGCCGGGGCCGGGGCCGGGGCCGGGGGCCGGGGGCCGGGGGGCGGGGGGCCGGGGATGGGGGCCGGGGGCCGGGGGGCCGGGGGATGGGGGGTCGGGGGGCGCGGGGCCCGGAGGCCGGGGGGCGCGGGGAGCCAGGGGATGGGGGGCCGGGGGGCCGGGAGGCGCGGGGAGCCAGGGGATGGGGGGGGCGGCCAGCGGGGGGCCCGGTCCGGCCGGAGCCGCGCGGGGCCCCCGGAAAGTGCATTTGGCGGAGCTGAAGCCGTGGCCCCCCGCCCCCAGTGCCTCCTTTTGGGGGCCCCTCCCGGGCCCCGCGCCCGGCCCCGAAGTTTCAAAGTTGCTGGGCGGCCGGGGGGCACCCGCCGCGGGGAGATCGGGCGCCCCGAGGCCCGGGGGTGGGGCCTGGGGACTGTCTTGGGGGCGCGCTGGGCGCCGGAGCCTCGGGTGCCGGAGGCCGGGCCCAGCCTTTGTGTGCGCCCGGCCCGCGGCGCCGGAGCCGCAGGGACCAGGCCGAGGCCGCGGACCGCGCCCGCCGACGGGCCGCCCCTGCCGGCTGCGGCCGCCACGCGAGCCCGGGGATCCCGGGCCTGCAGCCGGCGGGGGCGGGGGAAGGGGCGGCAGGAAAGGGGGGCGCGGTCGGGGCGGGGGCACTTCCGGTCGCAGGGAGGAGCGGGGCCTCCCCAGCGCCTGGGGTGGGGGCGCCCCTGGGAGAGGGGCCCCCCCGGAGCTGCCGACCCCCGGCCTCGGACCCCCATCCTCAGTGGCCTGCTCCCTGGTTTTACCCATTTTCCCGTGAAACCCCTGCAGGTTTGGGGTCACAGACACAAAGCCGGTCCCAGGGGACAGCAGGCAGGAGGGCGCTGACAGCCCCGGGGGCTGTGACAGAGGCCTCAGCGGGGAGCAGCAGAGCTGGGGTCCGGGTGGGAGCAGAAGGGGCCACCGCAGCTTTGTCCGGAATTCCAGTTCCCTGGGGCTGCTCCCTGGGACTTTGGCTCCCGGGAACCACACTGGCATCCCAACTTCTCACCGTTTTTCTCAGCGCCCGGAATCCCTCGAGTCTCAGGAAAACAGCAGGACGCAGGCCCTTGAGGTTCCACAAGAATTCCATGGTCACAGTCCATTGAGCCGTGGGTGGAGGCAGAATTCCAGCGGGATCCTCAGTGGGACCCCCTTGACTGCCCCCCCCCTCACCCCCACATTCAACCCAGCCACCGCTGCTGTCTTCTCCCTGTCACCTCCCATGGGGACCCGAGCGCAGGGGAGCAGGTTTGGGCGGATGGATGAACGCGGTGGGAGCAGGTTTGGGCGGATGGATGCTGTGGGTCGAGAGGGGAGACTGTGTCCGGGAGGGATGAGATCTGAGGGAGGGAGCGATGGGTGGCCCCTGAGCGGGGTGGGGTCTGTGTCCCAGGGAGGTGGGGATCCTCAGCTCCTGGCTTTTTGTTTCTGACGGACAGTTAAGAATGTGGGGTCGGGTCCGGCCGGTGTGGCTCAGTGGTTAAGCGACCACCTATGAACCAGGAGGTCAGGGTTCCGATTCCCAGTGCAGACACATGCCTTCCCAGTCTCCCTTCCAGAAATCTCCAAGGGGACGTTTGCTGGGCCAGCCCTGCGGGGCCCTGGGACATGGGGCCATTTTTAAAAATATATATATTGTTTTTTTACAGAGAGGAAGGGAGAGGGATAGAGGGTTAGAAACATCCATCAGCTGCCTCCTACACAGTCCCTACTGGGGATGTGCCCGCAACCACGGTACATGCCCTTGACCGGAATCGAACCTGGGACCTTTCAGTCCTCAGGCAGACGACGCTCTATCCACTGAGCCGAACTGAAGGGGGGAGGGGGGAGGGGTCGGAGGCAGCTGATCAGTGGTTCTCTCTCATCATTGATGTTTAATAAAAAAAGAGAGAACGTGGGTTTGGGTGGCCAGGGAGCCCTGGGGGAGTCTCTGGGGAGGGAAGTCGAGGCGGCGGTGGGTGTGGATGTGAGTCCGCGGACAGCATGTGCTCAGCCAGGGCTCCTCGTCCATCTCAGACGGCTCCTCGGCCTCCGCAGCGGCCATTCGGGGCCACGTGTGTCCGTCCTCACTGTCCCGCGGAGAGGCCTGGCGCTGGGGGAAGAGCATGTCCCGCTCTGTGACCATCCCGCATGGTGTTCTGATCCCAGTCTCACCCTTTCCCGGGCCCCGGGCTCCCTCAGAGTGGCTTTTCAGGCGCCTCCTGTGACCCCGGGAGGTGCGAGGGGCAGGCTCGGGGGTGGATTCTCGAACCCAGGAGAGAACAGGGACGTGCTCAGGACCGGGTCCAGCAGGGGCCGTGGGGGGAGGGGAGGTCTGGGGTCACCTCCCTCCAGGACGCGGGCTTGCACTGGGAGGACGGGGAGGTGTGTAGGAGGCAGCTGATGGATGTTTCCAACTCTGCTTTCTCTCCGAGTCCTCCCGGCTCCGTGAGGGGGGTGTCCTGGCCTCCAGTTCACAGCTGGAGGCACTGAGACACAGGATTTGTGTGGCTGGCCCACGATCGCCCAGCGGGATTTGAGCCCGGACCTGGGAGACCGTTGACAACGCGATGGCTGTCCTAGGGGACACCATGGTATTGGGCCCCTCCGTCCCAGCTGTGCAGACAAGAGCAGCGACCAGGACCATCTGCACTGGCAGATGCACCAGGCGTGGAGGCTTAAGCTAAAAGGTCAGCCTGCTCCCCAAGGCCAGGCAGCTTTATTAAAGTGACCCGCCAGCCGAAACCGGTTTGACTCGGTGGATAGAGCGTCGGCCTTCAGACTGAAAGGTCCCAGGTTCGATTCCAGTCAAGGGCATGTACCCTGGTTGCGGGCACATCCCCAGTAGGGACTGTGTAGGACGCAGCTGACGGATGTTTCTAACCCTCTATCCCTCTCCCTTCCTCTCTGTGAAAAACCAATAAAATATATATATTTTAAAAAATGGCCCCATGTCCCAGGGCCCCGCAGGGCTGGCCCAGCAAATGTCCCCTCGGAGATTCCTGGAAGGGAGACTGGGGAAGGCAGATGGCTGTGGAAGGAGGATTGGGACCCAGCTCGGAGATCTGCGTTCAGTTCCTGGGTGCCTGCCGGGTGCCTGGCGTGGGGCCGGGGGGAGCTGGCAGCGTGGACAGGAAGAAGATGTGGGTTTGATTAACGTGAGCTGCCCAAGGCCAGGAACTGGGTCTGACTCATTCCATGCCCCAGGCCTCCGTGGAGGTGCCAGGAGGACCTTCCAGCCATTGTGCTGTCCACGTGAGTCACGTCCCACCAGGAAGGGGAGAGGAGGACGGGGGACGGGGGACGGGGGACGGAGGACGGCTTGCTTTGTCTGGAGGCGGAAGTTCCTCCTGGAAGGGCCACTGGGCCATTGGGAAGATGGCTGGGGAAAGGCCATGATAGGAGATGCCCTGAGATGACAAGGGCAGGGCCACGTACAGGAGGAGCAGCCACAGTCTGGTGGCAGGCCTGGCCAGGGTGGCTGTTAGTGGGAGCGTTGTCCTGTGCACCGAAAGGCTGCGGGTTCGAGCCCCACTTGCTGGAGGCAGCCAGCCGGTGGATGTTTGTTTCTCACATCGATGTCTCTCCCTGCCGCCCCCCCAATGTCATTGACACACATGCTGGCATGTGACAGGGCTGAGTCCAGGTTCCGGTCTGGCTCTGCCCGCAGCTCCTGGGGGTCCTCGGGCCCATGTTTTCCTTCCTGAAGAGAAGCCTGAGGTTGTGATGTTTGATGGTAACTTGTAGGAGGAGCTCAGTGCCCAGGGGTCAGGCCGGAGGCACAGGTGAGAGGAACTGGAGGAGGGTATACATCGTTATTAATTTAAAAACACCCATCCAGCAGCTCCCTGGTGGTCAGGCCCCGTGTGAATGCTTTTTCCTAGATCAGATTATTTAATTTTTGTAATAGCCTTCTAGGTAGGCACCATCATTGTCCCCATTTATTTGTTATTTTTAGTTGATCTTAGAGAGAGGAAGGGAGGGAGAGAGAAACATCAATGTGAGCGAGAAAAATACATCAGCTGCCTCCTGCATGGCCCCGACCGGAAATCAAACATGCCACCTTTTTTATTTTTATTTATTTATTTATTTATTTACTTTGCCACTTAAAATATAAATATAAATATAAATATAAATATAAATATAAATATAAATATAAATATAAATATAAATATAAATATATATTAGCCGAAACCGGTTTGGCTCAGTGGTAGAGCGTCGGTCTGCGGACTGAAAGGTCCCGGGTTTGATTCCGGTCAACGGCATGTACCTTGGCTGCGGGCACATTCCCGGTAGGGGGTGTGCAGGAGGCAGCTGATCGATGATTCTCTCTCATTGACGTTTCTAACTCTCTATCCCTCTCTCTTCCTCTCTGTAAAAAAAAAAAACAACAACAAATCAGTAAAATATATATATATTTTAAAAATATATTTTATTGATTTTTTACAGAGAGGAATTGAGAGGGACAGAGAGTTAGAAACGTCGATGAGAGAGAATCATCGATCAGCTGCCTCCTGCACACCCCCTACCGGGAATGTGCCCGCAGCCAAGGTACAATACATGCCCTTGACCGGAATCGAACCCGGGACCTTTCAGTCCGCAGCCACACCGGTTTTGGCAGAAGTCCGGCTCTTGAGCGAGATCGGTGTGAACTGATTGGAAAGGACTTTAGGTGAATTTTTCAGGAGAAAACGAAGGGTCACCCACACTCCAGCTCCCCCCACCCTGCCCACACCGCGGCTCCGACAGTAATCAATCAGCGCCGTGTCCCCAGCGCGGGGTCAGCCCGCGAGCGGCCGCAGGGGCTTCCTGTGGGGGAGGCGCCGCTGTGACCTGCTGGGTCCCCGAGGCCGGTCCCGGCCTTCCCCGCCCCCCTCCCCGCCCCCCTCCCCGCAGGCAGAGGCGTGTGGCCGGAGTCCAAGGTCCTGAGTTCGCCCCCAGCTCTGGGCCTGCGGCTGCGGGACCCGGGCGGGAGCATTGGGTCCGGCCTGGCCT